AGATGGATGCTTAACGATATCCACGAGTCGGTTCGTCTGCATACGCAGATTGCTGGTGACAGAATTAAAGAAAACTGTTCTCTCTGCCACTAAACCTGTCACAGCCGGTATCCCACAAGACTTCAAATTATCTCCCACTCTTTTTAACTGGTTTTGCGAGGACATTGATTCTGACTGCTGACCACATTGCCCACATAAATTCTTCCAAAACCATTCTACAAAACACAGCTAGAATAAATATGTTTCTACCCCTGCTTCTAAACTGGTACCGGAAATAGAAACTTTCCATTAACGAGACCAAATCGGAAGCAATTTTCATCTCACGTAGGCTCCGGAAACCTCCCTCCATCATCATAAACAACCGCCCCAGCAACTCCGGCACTTACCTAGGCGTCGTCTTCGACAGATCCCTAATTTGGCGGCACCACATCACTGTTACCCGTAACAAGGCTATGGGTGCATTCATCGGACTGAAATCTTTCTTCCGAAATGACACAATCTCCGAACAAACGAAAATCCGTGCGATTAACCAATCCTACGCCATCCCAATTTGGGGCTGCACCCATCCCCGACGCTTTCGAATTCTTCAAAGCACTTACATGCGAATTTTTCGCTCCGCACTCAACCATCCATGGTTCATCAGAAATACTCAAATTCTGAAAAAAACCGGTCTACCTTCTTTCCCCGAGGCTACAACCAAATTTGCAGTAAATCTTAGAGCCTCAGCGTCAGGTCATCCAAACACGTCTATCTCAACACTTTCCGACTTCGCCCCTACACCGAACGACCGTTTCAGAAGGCCCTGCCACCTTCTCTTCTGAACTGCTTACTTTTGCTCATTTCTAGTTCCGCTTTTTAGCGCAAGCACCTACCCTACTTTTTTGATGGGACACCTATTCACATTTACACCACCACCACACCCAAATACTTCCCTCCCCACTTTTACCCCTCCAATCTTCCCAACAATCCTCCCTTTCGGGTTGACATCCTTACTTTAGTCGGTAGGCGCTTCAGCGAATCTGACACTATCCCCTTCAGGGAGTGTCTTTTCCCCTCCTCGAGGATAAACTAAACAAAAAAAATACGGACTCACGACAACCCGGCTGATCTTGCTTCAAGGAGCTTCCTACCTGCGGAGCTCATTCTAACAAAAACAAATCGGTTTTTACTCTCTTTCCGTCGTTCAATAACCTCACAGTAGACATAAAGGTTGTTGGGGATCTTATCAGTGATTCCTTCATCGCCTTCCTTCGAAGATTTATTGTACGGCGAGGTTATTGAGCCTATATTTATTCCGACAATGGCACTAATTTTGTCGAAGCCAATGACAATTTGCGTGAATTAATGGTGCTAATAATATCAGATAATTGTCAAAATAAGTTGCAAGATTTTCTTTAAATAAAACCCTTTCATTAGCTTTTCTCACCCACAAGATCTTTGTGGGAAGCAGCCGTTAAGGCATTTAAGTATCATTTAAAAAGAGTGGTCGGTCATAATATCCTACTTCATCTGGAACAATTTGCGCTTATTATCGAGATCGAAACTATAGTGAATTCACATCCTTTAACCCCTATATCTTCTTATCCTCAAGACTTACTAGTTCTAACACCCAATCACGTTCTAACCGGTGATTCGTTAACGATCCTACGCGAACGAGACTATTCAGAAATACCCTCCAACCGTTTATCCGTGTGGCAGTTCTTTCAAAAATTAAAACAAAATTTCTGGAACCACTGGAAAAACGAATAACTCAACAAATTTACTAATCATTTTAATTGACTAACGGTCAACATCTATTCGTTGAAAACAGCAGAAGAGAAGACAACATGCCTCCCCCACATTGGCCCTTGGGATGCGTAGTGAAAGTCCATCCTGGTGTTGATGGTGTTATTCGTGTAATGACAGTGAAAACAGAGAAAGGGACTGTGAAACGTAGTGTAAAACAATTACCACCGTTACCAGTTGATAGTACTAATCAAAGTAATGGCAATAAGGATTGAACATTCTAATAATAGTGACTCAAAGTTAATTTTATTACGATTATTGTTTCAGTTTAGTTTAAGTTACTTTTAACCATAAATTTAATTTTCATTTATGTTGATCGGATTACTCACCCTCTCAATGAGGTTATGTAATACCTCGCTTTTCATTTTATCGCCTCTCTCTACATCTTATCTATCTGTCCTTGCTCTTTCTTTTATTTATGACTTAACCTACAGTTTCTGTATTTTCTTTTCCACCACTACTCGCCTTTCTTTTATCCATTACTAATATGAGTTAATATATACGTATACAGACATATAGTTCAACCAGTCTTAGGACTGACGACCTTATGATGATAATACATACAGTTTCTGAAATATATCTGTTTTAATATTTATAATATTTGTAATTTTCAACTGTTTTCTACAAGCTCCGCGCTTATTTCTGTTACACCCTGCATAGCCTTCATGAACTATACCTACCAAGAAAATTAAAGATAGAGTCCCTAGATATACAGAATCTGTCCCCTCATGGGATTAACTCTGATTAGTTTCACTACAAAATGGAGGTACCAATCGTTCAGCTACTTTGAACGGCTCGTTTAAAAGCATATTTAAATTTAAGTGAGGTTGTACGTTAATTGTAATGCAGCTTTTTTTTTAATTATATACAATTATTCCTTATACTAGAATGAAGTCCTCTTCAACATTACAACAGCCTTGTAGGGGAAAGGGACATAAGATGACGAAGTGGGTAAGTTGACGAATTACGATATTTGAGACAGAGTCGATACATTTGGTAACTTTTTCTATAACAAGTTTTGTGCTTTATCCTTACGCCACTAGAAGTTCTATAGCAGACCGCATTTGGAAGATGCATTTTGGTATTAACGAAGGTTATATGCGCACCTGCTTAGTTTTAGAAATTTTTGTGATTGGGGAAATAGTGTGATTTTCTGCTTGAGTAAAACCTAAATTTAAAATTTTTATTGCAAAGGAATACACACTATTCCTTGCATGCTTTTACTATTTTGTTTTTATTTTCGCATTTGTTTAAATCAAAATAACCCTCATATCGCGAAACATGTTAAATGTGGCTAAGTTGACGAATGTCATCAGTCATCAACCTCGGTAGTTATTCCAAGAGATTTAAAACCACCAAAAACGCCCAACAACGAAAAAGAAGGAAACCTCAACAACGAAGAAGAAGCGTGGAATTTCCCGTATTACCCCGAGCAGAACTAAAAGCAAGACACCCTAGAAAAAACATCAATCGCTTGTTATTTCTAACACTCCGGTTAAAGACGCTCTAGAAGAAAAAGAGTTTAAAAAACGTAAAGAAGAACAGAAACAATGTGATAAAGGATTAGAAGAGACAAAAGGAGAGAGGGTTAATAACGATGTAAAAGTAAAATTAAAGAAATCGGTAATTAAAAGAACCAATCGACAGATATTTAAAGATTCTTCCGATTCTGACAGTTCAACCGAAATATCTTTTATTGATACGGATGATGATATGGATCAGGAAGAAGATGACAAAATTTGCGTGATATGTGGGGACAAAGGCAAAGACAATGAACTTTGGTTTCAATGTTTTAAGTGCAAACTTTGGGCACATGCTGAATGTACCGGATTGTCCTTAATATTTGTTTATATTCCTCTTGTACAGGTACCTCGCCATCTTACCCACATTAGTTCGTCAACTTGCCTACATGTGAGGATAAGATGACGAATTGAACACGTTTTGTATTTTTATCTCTAATTTTTATAAGAATTATTTATTTACAAAGAAAAAATTGTAAATCAGTTACAAAAACTGTACCCTTAATAAGTTTGCAAAAAAATAGTTTTATTTTTCTTTAAGTACGCTAAAATTTAATTATAAGTCTTACGTTCGTCAACTTACCCTCCCTTCCCCTACATAGCCTATGATCTCTGTAAGGGCTATCAAATTCCAAATTTTGAAGCATTGAAAAATGTTAAAGGTTCAGATGCCTAACAATTTCTGCACTATAACCTTGCCAATAAAAACTTTCAGAAGATCTAGTCACATCAATAGATAATCAATTAAGGAGCAAATTTATTTAGCAATTTTTGCAATCCGACCACCACAAAAAAAGTTATACGCAAAAGTCTAAAAATCGGAAAAAAAATACCGGAAAAAAGCACCTAAAAAAATCTTCCCTCGAAAGAAAATTTCCAGAAAATTTATCTTAAAGGAGACCTTAAGTACGTGTATATAACCAGTAGAACTTAATTACCGTGAAATCAGGCGAAATAATGTATATGACTATGGCTTTTAAGAAATGTTTTATTAAAAAATATGTTGAAAAATTATAAGATCTCGTTTAAAATAATTCTCCAGGGCATTGCTTCAATCATTTCCGGCGGTTTTTCCCAGAGATTTTTTTCCGTAAACCATGCCGCGAAGTGAGTGTTGTTCTTTCTTACCATAGCGCTATGATTCTAATAATTTAAGTTTGCCGGATTATATATCAATTTTAATGTATATAAATAAATATTGCCAAGATTAGCAATAAACGAATAGGGATTTAGAATACGTGCACCAAAGGGACACCGGTTGTCTGATCAAGCTGTACACTAATTGATCATCCAGCCGGTTTGAAACCCTTTTTACGTGTCGGAACATCACTGATAAAGCGTCGTCGTAATCGGATTGTTCTTTTAAAAATTTTAAAAACAGTGTCCGACTATGCTGAAGACATTTGCTATCATAAAGACTTCGATGACAAAGCGGCCGGTAAGTTATTTTATTTTGTTTAATTTAAATATACAAGAGATTCTTCCCCTTCTTCAAGCATCTACTTCTACTTTTACCCTAAAAAATTGTTTTCCACTGGTTTTTGATCTAGAGCTTAATATTTTTACTTACCCCTTCCGGTACGAATCGACCAAAATCAATCCAGATATGGTCATCTAGTCCACAACAGAGAGATTGTCCCTTTTCGGAACTTCAACCTTTTAATTAATTTTTTATTGATAAAAGTAACACCTTACTTTTGTCTTCTTTTCTTTTGGCATTATTTCTGTATTGTTTAACGTTGAATATCAAATGAGATTATTTTGATTGACATATAAAAGTAACACATACCCACTTTAAAATAGTGTAATAAAAACCTTGAATGGACTAGGACAGGGATGGCAAACCAATGGCACGCGTGCCATTAGTGGCACGCGACACAATATTTTGGGCACATCACTAATATCAATCATAAAGTCTAGTTCAATATGGATCCAAAACATTATTGAAACAAGGAAACTACTTGAAACAGAAAAATTGGCAAGTGATACAAGTGAAAATGCTACTAACAAAATTTTGGAAACATGAAATGCGTTACCAAACACTTTTAATTGTTTGAAGAAGCTGGCTTATGCTATTTTAACAATGTTTTTTCCTCAACCTATGCCTGCGAGTCATTATTTTCAGAGATGAATAACATTAAAAACTCGGTTAGAAATCGTTTGACAGGTACATATTAAAAGGTA